GGCCCGGCAAACGCGTCGGGCGCTCTTCAACCGCCGGGGAGGCGGGCTCGGAGCCTTTGGGCGAAGGCGATTGGCCGCGGCGGCGTCGGGGGGAAAGGGATTGGGCAGTGAGGAAGCAAAAGGGCGGGGCTTCCTCGGCCACGCGGGGCAGGCGCTTGAATGAATGAATACAAAGCGAGGGAGAGGCGCCCGCCGGCTTGGCTGGAAGGGGCGGGGCTTCATTCCTTCCCCTCACCTCATTGGCTCTTAAGCTTCTGGGGGCGGGCGTGGGGAAATTTCAAGGGGGCGGGTACTGAGAATCATATTTTTTTAAAGGAATCCCCATATATGACTAATTTGTGTGACACAATTATTAGGATTTGGGGGCTTCCCTCGTTCCTTTTTCTTCTTACATGAAAAGCGTGTTTATTATTACTTTTTGGACATTCTTTATTTAAAGCATGAATTGATTCCCCCCCAAGAAGCATGGTTTCCCCCTTCTTTTCCCCTAGTCACCTAGTGGCACCACGTGACCGGTTAGTAACCTTGAGTAGAAGCCCCGGATGTGGGCGGTATTTGTATTCATGCCCGCCCCTTTCCTTTGGCTCCGCCCCCAAATTTTCATCCTCTTTCCCTCACCCCTTGTTTCTTTTTAATGCAGTTTTTTTTCCCTGAGCCTTGTTTTAATTTATGTCAAATAAATGTTGAGTAAGAAGACATGCAGAAGCAGGAGTGTTCTCAAAAATCCAAAGAAAACATGAGGCCCAAAAGTTTGGCATGTCCTGGAAAGAGAAAGATCATTTATCTTCCTTGGCTTTGATTTTTATGGGGAAATTTTTCATATTTTTATGGGTTTAAAAATAAACGTGATTGTATTCTACTGTTAAAAAGAGAAAAAAAAACAGAATAGTGTTTAAGAATTTGTTTCGGCCACTGCGGCAACACTTCTGTCCTTCCCTTAAACCCAGAGACTAACTAAGGTGCCGGGATGTCGAAATGGGCATCTTTGCAAATGGATAGGCAGTGCATGTGCTCCGGGTTTTAGTTGGAACTTTAAAGGAGGAACCACAAGGGTGGTGACCCTGTTTTGTGGAATCTGATCCATTACCCCCTAGAAAATGCTGGGTAATTCCTGGCCGGAGAGCTTCCAAAACATTATCCTACACAAGAGAAAAAGACCAGACAAGCAGCAAGGTAGATGGCTTTATTATTAAGCATTGCCGTCTCGCTGTGGAATTACATCGCCCCTAAAGGTGCTCTTTCCTCCCGGCCGGAAGGAGAAGGCGCAAGACTAGAAAGGGAGCCTGGGAGGGGGTGGCAGGAGAGAGGCGCTGGGCTCGGCAGAGCAGGAGCAGCAAACAGCGGCTTCCATGGTTGACCCGCAGCCTTCCTGGATCGGCTCAGCTGTCCTCCCAGAAAAAGGTGTTGCAAGCCACGGTCAAGGTGGCCACCAAGACCACGAATTCCTGGAAATCCACTTCGCCATCGCCGTTCTCATCCAGCTCGTGCATGATCTTGTCCACAGATTCCGTGTCCTTCTGGGTCTGCAACACGGAAGCCCCCCCGGAGAGATTTATTTATAAGATCTTGCAAAAGGGAAGAAGAGAGGAAGCTGGCTTGTACAAATGCCAAGTCAGAACCTGAAATATGGAATTTAAATGGCACCCATTGTTTGTCTCTTGGTGATGGGAGTGGTACGGTCACCGTCATGGCTCTGATCTTTTGCGTAATGCCTTGCATTGCTCATCATTAAGACATTACTTTGAAATCCCCAACAGGCCAGAAAAAGACAGCGAAGTACTCTCTGGTTCCCTCTAGTGGCCGATTCTGATACTGCTCCCTGGAAATATGTATTAAAATACGTACAAAAGGCTAAACCAAAGCATACTGCCCTTGTCACTTAAAATTAGTAAGAGAGTAGCACAGTAGCCAGAGGACTCCTGCCAAAATGCCCCTAAAGTGTTTTAAAATATTCTTTACAGTAACTGTTGAAAGTAACTGGGTGTTAACTAGTTGTACCTAAGTAACTTGGGTGCTACGTGTCCTTAGAAAGTAATGTTTAATTTTCCAGTTGCATAACTTGTTACTCAACAAGCTTATAGATCTAAATAGCTGAGTTGCTTATCAGAGTACATCAGTTGTATATCTTTTGATAGCATTTCACACATGTCAGCTCAGCAAATAGTACTTTCGAGAAGCTGACGGGGCTAAATGTGTAACTTATGAAACTGTAACTTGCAAAGTTGGCGCTTCCAGCCCCTTCCTCTTTTCTCATGACCCCAAGCCTCGCGCTGTCAGCAGATAGCGGAGGACCTGTCCTCAAAATTGAGCTTTTAAGCTCGCTAATGGAAGACGGTCTTCCGTAGGAGAATTGCCCCTGCCTGCGGTGTTCAGATCAAGGGAGGCAGACCTCCTCGGCTGCCCCTCTTCGAGAACAACCCGCCTAGCAAGCACAAAAGACGGGGCCTTCTCCGTGGTGGCTCCTAGCTTCTCCCATTCAAGCTCAACAAGCCCTCTGCAACGCAGACCTTCAGGCAACGTTCTCAAGATTCGCCAACCGAAATAGGATTCATCTAGAGCCACTGTGTGCATTTCTAGTTTTTTGGGGTTTTTTAAATCACCATTCCTACTGTTAGTTTTGCTGTTTAGTATGGTTACACCCCAGGGTGGTGGCATTTTTTTCCCAGTCTACGCAGCGCCTTCTGGAATGCCTCTGCCCTGCCCTCCTGAGTAAGCCCGAAAATTAAATTTGGCCCTTGGGGTGGCTTGCCCCAAAATGTGGCCCAAAAAATCCTAAGTGCCATTCTAGATCCTTTTCCTGGAAGTTGGCGGATTGAGGTTTTAAACACCAGCCGCACCATCTGGGAGACAGACTTTTCTTCAAAATATTTCTACCCTAGTGATGAATTCTTTTGCTCTCCATTCAAATCTTTACCAGCCGCAACGTCTGGGAGACAGACTTTCCCTCAAAATATTTCTACCCTGGTGATGAACTCTTTTGCTCTCCATTCATTCAAATCTTAATTGCATAAAGAACAGATCATGGCAAGTTTTTTAAAAGAAATCTTTTGCTCTCAGTTCCAGTGGGTGGGCTTCTGAGACTTTCAGCCTGAAGCCTCAAGACTCCCCAGAAAGCCGTTCCGGGAGGCTTAAGTCTGCCCACACGGACTTTCAGCACATCTGACACGTACAGAGAGGATGACACTGGGGTTAGGGAGCCGGAAAACGTACAAAACGCCCAGCCCCTCTGCATCGCATAAAAGCTGCGAAAGGAACGTCTCTCAGTTCAAACAGCATGACCGGCTGCGTACAAGTCCCTCCATTGTGAAAGAGTGGTGATCCAGGTGTCCCAGACAGCCCACCATCATCAGGAAAAAAAAAATTGACCCATCCCTGTCTTTCTTGGACCCCCAAGATCTGGTCTTTGGTGGTAGACTGCCTCTAAACCTGGAGTCTCCACCCAGCCATCGTGGCTGACCAATCTCCCTGCATACGTCCTCATTTCATGCCATGCATTTATATCTGGTGGCCATGAGTTCTGCAGGTTACTTGATGCCCTGTGTCAAGAATAGGAAGCAACACTGCGGGCCAGCAAATATGGGTTTGCGTCACCAGCACAAACCTTTCGGGGTGCGTTCCAGGCATGTGTTCCTGCCGAGACCTGTATCCCAGCTAGGAGCCAACCGTCCTCCCTCCAGCCTCTTGGACCTATCAAGTTATCTTTCTGGGGCCCACTGATCTGGCCTGTCCGTTCATGTGGGCATCTGGGGTGGACTGAGCCCCCCCCCCAAAAAAAGAGGCTCAGTTGTAAGCCAGAGAAAGAAGATCATTTGATTTTTCTCTCCGGCTTTCATCCAGAAGTGGGACCTGGGCAAAATCTCTGTCCCCTTCTCCAGGGATCTACCAGCAAAGTTTGGACAAAGTTCCCGTTTGGGACGACCCCCTTCCCCGAGGTGGCCGGAGAGGCTACCCCGAAGCTTGATCCGGGAAGGAACATCGAACAGCGTTACCTCCAGGAAACTGCCCAGCTCGTTCTGCAGGAGGTCCTTCAGCTCTTTCTTGCTCAGCTTATATTTGTCCCCTTCCTTGCCCGAGTAGCTGTGGAAGACGGAAATGAGGGCGCCCATCGCGTTCTCCAGTTCGGACCCCATGGCGGCGCGGAGGGCGTTAAGGGCAGCTCGTCGAAGGAACCGGACCTAAGGGGAGAAATGAAAGCCTTTGGGTGCGTCGGATGGTTAAAACAGGACAAAAAAGGGGGAAGTAAAATTAAAAGGAATACCAGGATAGGCCATCACATGGGGTAAAAATCCCACTCCCCAGGAAGGAACTGGAGTCACAGGGTGAGACCAGTCTTCATGCTCTTTGGGAGTTGTTTGAATTTCCGGGAAAGAAATAGGAGCGCAAGGTCATTGCCACCAGCCAAAAATTGCAAGAAAGCAATATATTCTTAGGTTCCTGCTCGGCGGAGGCCAGAGGGAAGCTGATGGAGGCATCGTCCCCGAGGGAAGTGAAAGTATGAGGGTAGACAACATCTCTGTCAGACGAGAGCTGGAGAGACCCGGGTTCAAGTCTCCACTTATCCCTGCTTAACTTTGGGGCCTAGGTTAATCTCTTGAGCTGGCTTCATCTATAGGATCATTGGGAAGGTGCAAAGCGTCTCGGCCAAGGAAGAGTCAAAACACAAAGAGCAATGAAATAATCATAATATTAGAATTGGAGAGCTGGGAGGGACCCCGAGGATCATCAAGTATAGGCCTTATCCAAGTATTGGCACTGCAGGGGAATCGAACTCCCAACCCTCTGGCTCTGAAACGCCAGAGCTCTTAGCGCAATGGACGCTTCCCAACGTTCAGCAACCTGTCGTCCAGCGTGGAGACCTTTCCCTCTAATTGCGGCTACTCAAGTATCTTCCCCTCGCCCGCCCACCCCTCCTTTACAGGTGGCCAACCTCACCTGGTCGAGCACCTGAAACCACCGTCAGCACCTCTCCCTCCTCTCTCTCTCTCTCTCTCTCACCCGGATCTCGGCTTTCGTCCTCCGGCGGCTCTCTCTGACAAAGCAGGTCCGAAATAGCCGTCCAGTGGCTTTAAATAAGAACCTTTCTCCTCCCCCGAGAGAATCCGATACCGGCCACTGGACAGCCTGGCTTCTGTCCGAATTTAAAGGAGCCATGAAATGCCAGAGTGGGGAAGGGAAGGTTTTCATTTTTTCCAGTAAAGCCATTAAGCTCCATGACAGCCTGTGCATACAATGGAAAATTCATCTCCATTGTAAGCCACAGAGCCTTTTGCTTCTCCTCCCAGTTGAATACACAACGCCCAAGTGTGGGGAAATGTCCTTTTCAAAAAAGAGACTACAGTGTCCATAATCCGCAGCGACCGTGCTGGCTGAGGAATGACAGGGGTTGTAGTCCCAAAACTGGGGGGGGGGGACTCCATCCCCACCTCCAAACTTTACCCAAGAACTTGGTACGTGCTTCGGCTTCTCCTTTCCGAGTGCAAGACGCATAGAGAATAAGTGCTTGAAATATTCCTTCTAAAAAGTAATTATTAGCAGGTACCCTTCCGAGGCATCCTGCCATTGTTACTTGCCTTACAACAAAGTGGCTTTTTGCTTCCTTGTTATTCATAGAGATTTCGTCAATATCTGTGACTAACGTAGATCTTTTTCTGTTACTTTGAAAAACATCGCCCCCAAAACAAAATTTGCAAAAACTGAAAGTAACTGCCCGCCTTAACTATACATGTAACTGGAAACGGATACAGTATGAAAAACCAGAAGTACAGTATATAAAAACAACAACAACAGAGGCTTTCCTTGTAACATTGCAATTAAAATGTGCTTTATTTAAGCAGTGCCGTTGGAAAAGGTATGCCTTAGGTATTGCAAGGAAAGAAGTATGGGTAATTGCAGTTTTTTAAAAAAAAAGTTACTGTACTTCCCATCTTTCAAAGTGGCTTCCCAGAAGGCACCTATTCAATTTCTCTTCCATAACATTTGATATAATTTTGTGTCTGTTCATGCAAATCCATTTTTTCATAGCTGGGACAGAGAGAAGGCCTAAAATAATAATAATAATACAAAACAGAAGAGAATGTGGAATCAGACGATTCCCCCCAGTCCATCCTGCTTACTTTGTAGAAAGTGTGCATAAGATAGCTACCTTTTTAAAAAGCTGTTGTTTTTTTTTTTAAGATATGTTAAAGTCCTTCCCAGCCAGCAAAAGGAAGTGAGCCGGTGATACACAGGGAACCAGAAAAACGCAGGGCGGTCTTCTCCGGCAGATAGAGATTTGGGGAATTCAGAGATTTTTGTGAAATCTCAGCAGCCGTGTGCGGTTCAGGCGTGACTTCCCAGAAGTATCGTCAGCAGGCTGGCTATGAATACCACAACTCTGATTCCTGCCGTCGGAGAACCTGCAACCCATCTTTCCGATAAGAGACCCAGGATCGGATGTCTCTGCTGGTCCCATTCAGACAAAGGCGGCTGTCAAAGCAGCTGCTCGGGTGACGGATCCGAGGCCCATCTGACTCAGGGCAACGCAGGGAGGAAACAAGGGCTCTCGTTGAATGAAAACCCTTCGCCCTGAATGGTCACCTCGGAAACGATGGAGCCACGAAACCAGATCCGGGGCCTGGCGCGGAGTCAAGGGCAGCCCGATCCAAAACCACCTCCGATCTCGTTACGAGCCCCCCTCGCTTGCGGGGAAGAATAAACCTTCCTCGGCATTAATGTTGCAGAGGGAAGTCATGAATCATGAATTGGGTTATTATGTTTTCCCCCTCCGGCGCTGGGTTTCACCTCGTCCTTTACAGGCACATTGTTCATGCGCTCCGGGACATGCCGGTCCCCCGGAGTCCGGCGAAATGCAGTGCCGAAAGAGGAAAACCCAAGATGTGCCAAAATCTTCGGTTTGGTCTAACCGGCGCCTTCTCGCAAGCCTTCAAAGAATGTGGTGGAGAATATTCTGTACATCTACAATAGCAGGAGTTCTCAACCTTAGTCCCCCCCCCCAAATGTTCTTGGACTACAACTCCCAGAAGCCTTCCCCACGAGCTGCGCTGGGCAAGATTTCTGAGGGTCGGAGTCCAAGAACATCGGGGAAACCAAGGCTGGCAACCCCTGCTCTTTCATAGCAAGGCCACGTCCAGTAAGCTCAAAAGAGAAAATTCTCAGAAAACTTTGCAGGAGGGGGTTTGGAAATCTCCAGCGATAATTTGGCCCGGCTGGGTATGGCAGTATCCTGAACTTTCCACTAGTGGGCAATGTGAGCTGCCCTCACGGAGGCTTCCCGAGGATGTGGAACTGATTTGGCAAAGCGAGAGACGTCAAGTCGGCTGCCTGCATTCCATCTCTCTGAATTTCAACCCGGTTTAATCTTTCTCCTGTGCTTCCTGTCCTCAGACACTTGAGGAAATCTGCCCTGGCATGGCAGAATCATCTTACTATTTTCTGACGACAGGACGTTTGTTGTTTTGGAACATGCCCATTTCTACGTAACGTGACACATGGCCCTCGATGCGTGTCATTTACTGATTTTTAAATATATATAGCCATTTTTCCATTATATAGCCATTTTTCCATTATCAGGATACAGCAGCTCCTCAAAGGCACACCCTTTCAGAATTCCTTAAATTTTCTTTGGATGGGCCTAAATCTGTGATGTACTCATGTACTGTCCAGTAGCAAAATACTATAGCTTATCAAGGAAGGAAGGATGGGATTTTCAGATTGTTTTGGACTACAAATCCCATTATTCTCCATTCTGGGCATTCTACCCAGCAGATGGACACCTTATAGGCAGCTAAATGTGGCTCGCCTGGGAGAAGGGCCTTAACTGGAAGGTTCTGAGGCCTAGCTAGGCCTAGCTTCCTGTTCAGAGAGGAAGCTCCCAGCTAGCACTGGGGCAGGAACAGGAAGCTGACACCAAGCTAGGCCTAGCTAGGCCTCAGAACTTTCTAGTTAAGGCCCTTCTCCCAGGCAAGCCACATTTAGCTGCCCGTCTTGTCTGTCTGTCTGTCTGTCTGGCAGAATTCAAGTACTGTAGATCCTTGAAACGGTTGAAATGGTCACAAAGTTGGGAAAACATTTTTATTTTTAATATATATTTGGCAGGAAGAGAAAAACACTTATCACATGATCAGAGGTTCTTTTTAATATTTTTCATCTCCTGGAATTCTTTTTGGCTCTGAGGTGGGCCTCTTGAAAAAAACAAACTTTCCGTATCCTGCTGAGTCAGTCCAATATTATTTGTTATGATGAGTGGCTTTATCTGTGTACTCTATATATCACCTACTGATGTAATTAATTAATCAAGTTGAGGGCCAATGTTAATTGGTGATGTCATGCCTTACTACCTTTTCTTATGTTTTAAAGCGCTGTTGTTTTGGGTGTGTTTGTTACTGTAATAAAAAACACTGTACATATACTGAACGGTGATCTTATGCAAACATACTTGGGAGTCAATTTGATGTAATTACTTTGGCTTCCTTTTAATTAGGCCTGTGGCAAAGCCCACAGTCCCTCGGGTTATTAGAAGTATTTATTTATTTTAAATTAACTCTACTTAGATGCTATTCAAAACTCTGGAGTCTGTGGCGTGAAAGTGAAGCATTGTTTATTTGCGAGGTGGGATTTTAAATTTTTTTTCTTGGACTCCAAATCCCATCATTCTTCATCCTAGGAGCTCTGCCTGTCAGACATCCCACCTTCAGTGAATTCAGCTTACTCTATGTGGCCCCTCCTCCTACGTTTTCCTCATACCAGCCCTGTGAGGAAGATCAAGAAGGGGAGCGATAGAGACGGAGGGAGAGTACTCTAAGGCCGACCAGAGAATTTCATAGCCAGGAGGGAGCAAAACCTCAGCATTGGGAATCCCAGTCCATCCACTACACAGCCATGGCTCTCTATGGTTTTCTCTCCATTTAACTTCACAACAACCCTCTGAGGGAGGCCAGAGAGAACGAGACTCGGCAAATTTCATGGCGCACCGAGAACAGACATTCCCGTCACCCGATCCCATTGTGCTAGCTGCTCCGTCAGCCCCGGTTCTCCTCCCATTTTGTCCTTTCAACCTCCCTGTGGGGTGGACTTTGTAGTCCTTTTCTTGGCTCGGTGGAGAACTCGAACCCAGGACCTCCCAAACCGAGGCCCGAACTTCTCACCATTAAACCACACCACTGAAAATTCTGGGTCTAACTCTTCCCAGCCTGCCTCAAACAAAATTCCACTCTTCCCCAGGATATTTCTGTACTCAAAACAGCGCGTTCTCCCCTCCTGATGGATGTCTACCCAGGCTGGTGCTTAAACAGGGAGCGCCCGGGAGGGTTGCTGTTTACGGCTCTTTTCCGGCGCTCTCCCACCCTCCGCTGCGACAGAGGACCCATTCATTTCTTGGCCCCCGCTGGCGCACGCAAGGCGGTTTTAGGAAGGGGCGTGTGTGTCGGGGCAGGAATGGGAAAAGGTGGTGCGAGGTCTGGACAACAAACCCAGTGTCCTCAATAATCCAGATTTAGCCGCGATCAACCCCAAGCAGGGGCACGGGAGTTGTGGGTGTGCGCGCACACCGGGCAGGGGATTGGACAGAGCGCACACTCCCAAACTCTGATTCAGGGTCTGTCTCATTCAGCAGCTTTTTTCCCCTCAGCTTCTAGCCCCCAAACATGAGCCTTCTGAGATAGACTATGGTTGCACATGGAGGTTCCACTTAACGTTCGTTCAGCCCCCCCCCGATAACCAACAATCAGAGATAGACTGCTGTGGCGTATGGAGGTTCTATTAAACTATAGTTTGGCCCCAAGTAGACGTCTCGAATTCTTCCCAGGAAAGAATTAAAGGATTCGGACTAATTTTTCGTTAAAGATGTCTAATGGCTATCGTCATCTTCTTTCCATCCCCCTTCTCCATCATCTGTCATGGCTGTTAGCTTATTTTTATTGCATCAGAAAGCAAACGGCAAGGAAACAATATTACTCTTGAATATTACTCTTGAACAGCGCAATACAATGGAGCAGTCCGACATAAACCACACAATAGACAATAAAAAAATCTAGTGGCCG